CCGCAGCGCCCTCCTGTCCCCCCCCGCGTACCATGAAGATGACGGCAGGCATGGGTGTGAGCAGCTTGACCTGGATCATTGTGAGAACCTCGGGCATGTGGCCCTCGCGCGCGCCCACGTAGAAGAGACGCGCCGACGTGAAGAGGATGCCGTTGACGGTGCCGAACGTCGACATGGCGACCATGACGGGCATGATCCACGCCATGACGCCGTACAGTCGGTCGGCAAACAGCTGCAAGACACGATTATTACACAATGTTACAGACAGCGTGGCGTGGCACGGAGACAACAACCATGATGATGATGATGATGATGATGATAACGATGATGATTGATGATGATGATGATGATGATGATGATGATGATGATGATTGATGATGATGATGATGATAATGATGCATATATATATATATATGTGACCAATGCTGGGACTTTTAGGTGCAAGTCGCTGGCTATTGTTTTGAGTATAGGCAATTTTCCATAAAAATCGATTTTTAGTCAGAATTTCGTCTTTAACGTAAATATGTTATTTAATATCTCAAATATAATTTATCAAAAAAGCAGACAGGTCAGAATTATCTTTAGATGTAAAAACTGACTGTCATATCAGTCAGTTCTGCTGTACTGCTTTTAGTGCGCAGTGAGGTTTGGGAACTGCGTTCCGGGTTCTTTTTTTTACTTTATTTGAAACTAAATTTTCTCGTAATTAAGGTTTTATCGGTTCACGAATTCAGGAAATCATATCTTCGGTTCTATTTGTGGTAGAGAGTTACTTTATGGCTTGTTTGAAAGCTGAGAGTCTAAGGAATCAGTTTATGGAATAATCTCAACATCCAGAAATTGACCCCTGAGCCTAAAAATCCCAGCACGGGTCACATATATGAGTTATGATAATATATCATGGCACCAGACTGACCAGTAACTCATGAAAAATGAAGGAGAACCTCCCTCATTCATCACTAAAGCTAATCAGGCTACGCCAGAATCGTCTCGGTTACACTAAATATGCCGCCGTCGGCATTAATTATAAAGTTTTACGATGCATGAGGGTATCGTCAGATTGAAGTCATGCCATCCTTCCTGGTTGCAAACATTGCCGCTGCTTGCTTACCCTACACTGAAATGTGAGATCACTCACATTCACTACGTACGGTCCAAGCACACAATTACCGTCATTCAAAATTAAATTAATGCGAGGGTAGAAAAACAACTAGTATGCGTGTGGCAGGAGGAATGCGAGAGGAAATCAATGTGCAGGAGAAGAGGAGAGGAGGAGGAGGAGGAGGAGGAGGTGAAGGGGGTGGAAGAGAGGGGAGCAAGAGGGGAGAAAAAGGGATGAGGAATGTTAGCATAGAGTTAATTAACACTGCCACGACAGGGCTCTATAGGTAAAAGGATGAGGAAGGGGAGAGGGAGGAGAAATAGCTTGATGCAATGGCTATCTATAGAGCGGGTAGGAAGAGAGGAGGAGGAAAGAGAGGAGGAGGAGACAGGAGGAGGAGGAGAGAGGGAGGAGGAGGAAGAGGAGGAGGAGGAGATAGCTTATCATGGCTATCTATGAGAAGGGGTAGAAGGAGCCGAGGAGCGGAGGGAGATGGGTGGAGGAGGAAACGTGGCTTATCATAGGTGATGCACGCGCTTTGGTACACGTCTATGAGAGGCAGAAGCGAAGAAGAGGAGGAGGTCAGAGAGGAGGAGGAGGAAGAGGGAGGAGGAGGAGGAGGGAGAGGAGATAGCTTATCATGGCTATCTATGAGAGGGGTAGAAGGAGCAGGAGGGGAGGAGATGGCGTGAGAGGGAGGAAAGGTGGCTTATCATGGTGATGGCACGGCTCTGTAACGTCTATGAGAGGAGGGAGGAAGAAGAGAGGAGAGGAGAGGAAGGAGAGAGGATGAGGATGAGGATGAGGATGAAGGATGAGCGATGAGGATGAGGATGAGAATGAGGATGAGATGAGGAATGAGGAATGAGGTGAAGGATGAAGGATGAGGATGAGGACTGAGGATGAGGATGAGGATGGAGGGAATGAGGATGAGGATGAGGATGAGGAGTGAGGATGAGGAATGAGGATGAGGATGAGGATGAAGGAAGGATGAAGGATGAAGGATAGGATGATGGATGATGGCATGGAGGGGGGGGAAGGATGAGGATTGAGGAAATGAGGATGAGGATGAGGATGAGGATAAGGATGAGGATGAGGATGAGGATGAAGGATGCAGGATGAGGATGAGGATGAGGATGAGGATGACGATGAGGCATGAGGATCGATGATGAGGATAGAAGGATGAGGATGAGGATGAGGATGATGGATGAGGATGAAGGATGAGGATGAGATGAGCGATGAGGATGAGGATGAGGATAGGAGAGTGATGAGGATGAGGATGAGGATGAGATGAGGAGAGGATGAGGAGAGGCAGGGAGAGGAGGCAGGAGGGGGAAGGAGGAGGAGAGGAGGAGGAGAGGAGGAGGAGGAGGAGAGGAGGAGGAGGAGGAGGAGGAGGAGGAGGAGGAGGAGCGAGGAGGAGAGGAAGGAGGAGGAGGAGGAGAGGAGGAGGGAGGAAGGCGAGGAGGAGGAAAGGAGGAGGAGAGAAGAGTAGGAGGAAGGAGGAGGAGGAGGAAGGAGGAGGAGGAGGAGAGGAGGGGGAAGAGGAGGAGGAGGCGGAGGAGGAGAGAGGAAGGCGCCAAGGAGGAGGAAGGAGGGGAGGCTGCAGAGGAGGCAGGGAGGAGGAGGAGGAGGAGGGGAGAGAGGAGGAGGAGGAGGAGGAGGAAGAGGAGGAGATAGCTTATCATGGCGACGGTAGTGCTCTGTAACATCTACGTGAGAAGTAGAAGGAGCAGAGGCAGAGAGAGGAGGAAGAGAAGGAGGAGGAAGAAGAGGAGGAGGAGGAGAGAGGAGAGATTATCTTACCACGGCGACAGCGGGGCTCTGTAGTATCTCAGCCGGTGAGACGACGGTGAGGAAGGCAATGTTGGTCATCACGTAGATGAAGACAACAATGATCATCGAGATGCCGACAGCCTTCGGCAGGTTCCTGAAGGAGAGGCAAGCTCACGCGTTACACGCTGCACTCACGAGCGGGAAGATTCCCCGAGATCTATCGCTCGCCCGGAGCAGTCTTCCCTGTAGGGGGAAGCGATCTCGCGCAGTTAGACGCTGCACGAGTCACCCGGTAATAAAATACCGGAATTTATCCCCGTGACGCCCTCTCCCAAAACCTAGATGGCACTTCTTACTAGCGGGAAGGTCACATTATCTGTTACGAGGTAATTACCTGCTTTCTCTACCACTACTACTTACTACTCGTCCTCACTCCACTGATTTTAGATTACTCGCCCGAGGCACGTGACAATTATACACTAGTACGGCACAGTTTTCATACACTTACTCACTACTTTACTTTCACTATTTTCGTTAACTTAAGCTGGTTTTACACTACCGACTTTGTGTTGGCGAATTGGACCAACTTCCCAACTATACAACCGACAATCAGCATTGTAAACGCAAAAGTTGCATGACCAACCGATCGATAGCAACTAGTTGGGCGATTAGAACGTGTTCTATTTTCGCCAACTCGGGAGTTGCCGAATTGCGAAATTGGTCCAACTCGCCAATTCGCCAACATAAAGTCGGTAGTGTAAAACCAGCTTAACTTTAACGTTTGTTTTTTCTTCACGCCAGATGCGAACAAGCACGCATGCTCACAGGAGGGTGGTCACATACTCACTTCACTATTTCACTTGCACTCTTTCTTCTTTACGTTATCGTATCTACTTACGCTGGAACGTGGGGTGCGACAGTTACTTACTCCTCACCCCCTGACTACACTATTTAACTTTTTTCTCTCATGGTTCATACAAGAGTACTAAACAACTTTCAAGGACTTTTCAAGGACATTTTATCGGAAATTCAAGGACATTTTATCGGAATTCATACACAGAACAAAACATACCTGGATTAATTTAATAACCCCATTCTTAATCACTGTCCCCTCTAAAACATACCTGGATCACATTAATAAACCCTTCTAAACACTGTCACTTCTACAACATACCTTGATTTACTGACTGATTTTACTGACTGTAATTTATGATCATCATTTAACTGTCTATCGTGTCTATAGCTTTTTATGCTCATTTAACGCAATTTTAATGAGGTTTGCACATTATTGATGGTACAAAATTTCTTTTTATTACAGGAAAGGATTCTTTCTAAAAATTCAAGGACATTTTCATGAAATTCAAGGACTTTTTCATGAAATTCAAGGACATTTTCATGAAATTCAAGGACTTTTCAAGCACAAAATCAACATTTACTAAATTCAAGTACTTTTCAAGGATTCCCCTCAAATTCAAGGACTTTTCAAGGACTGTGCGAACCAGACTCTTCTACTTACGCAGGAACATAACGCAGCAGTTACTCACTCCACAGCACCCAACTACACTATTTCTCTTTCTTCTTCTTCTACTCACGCAGGAACATGGCGTTTTTTGCGTGCACACTTGTTTTTCACGTCATCGTATATCGACGTACGCGGTGATGCAATACGGCGGTTACTTACTTCTCTGGTTCTTGCAGCTCCTCAATGACAAAGTTCAAGTAGTTCCTGAAACATCGATACAACAGTAGCGGTTAGATCTGTGCGGCTCACAAGTGTCTGGGCGAGCATGTGTGGGTGGGAGGTGGGGGGGCACAACACTCATCAATGAATCTCTGTTATCTTACAATCGCTCACTTAGCTTGTAGTAAGGTTCGCTAGTGCGAAGATAAGTTTACAGTAACGAAACCAATCGTGGCCAAAAAACCAGCGAGTAAACGTTTTTTGCCGCGGGCAACGATGATGATACCAGCAGTCACGGCAGCAGCAAAAAGCATAACTCCGCTAGAGGCATAGTAACACCATCATATAACTGAATTGCACATTTTTAATTGCTAGTGCATTTAATAATATGTATCGTGTAGGATTGCGTATAACCGCCACAATGCATGAAATTTCGTATGAATACACCCTGTGCTTCGCTATTCCAAACACAAAAATTTTGGCAAGCAGCCAGCCAGCCTGCGCATAGCTAGACTGCTCCACAGCCTCTTCACTGCATATAAAGATACCACAGATCACATAACAAGGTACTAGTCTAGGCTACTAGGTACTAGCCGAGCAGTTGTCATTCACACGTGTAAACATGAATCACCGATTTGAAATGAGTTTTCATTGTCAACGCGAAGTGAATTTAATTATTGTTATTGATGATGCATAGTGACTATTGATTGTGGCAATACATGTCCGATACAGCATTTCGTACTTGTTCAAATGCTGTGAAATTTACTTATTCTGCATTTTAATGTCAAATATTCAAGCCGAGCCTTCCCAAATAAAATGTAAAATTTAGCCGAGCTGAATTGTCAGTATGCGGGCCAACGCGCGTGATTGAGGGGCCTGGACATTTGGAGGTTTACTCAAGCAGGAGCAATTCCACATAAATTACCTGCTGCACAAAGAGAGAGAGAGAGAGAGAGAGAGCGAGAGCGAGAGC